CAGACTGTGACTTAGGCAGAGAGGAGGTGGCAGGGGTGCAGGGGTTCCCACCTTCCTAACGTCCCTAGTTTTAGGATATATGATGCCATCCAATCCTCATGACCAAACAGATGAGAAGTTTCCCCTTCCAAAGGGTCAAGTGCCAAAGTCACACAGCAAATAGATCAGCGGCACACAGACAGGCCTAACAGCTGTGTCTTTTGATGCCTGCCTGGACCTCCTGGAAGGCACCCCTTGCTGGGCACTGTGGGAAACTCTGAGATGACTGAGACATGCCCCTTGCCCTCAAGGAATTTGCAGCCTAATTAGTAAAAAGGGCAGGCTCAATACAGTAGGATCCATCCTGCCTGTGAGCCTCCAGCCTGCCAGCCTGCCCTGTGGATTTTGGATTTGTCAGCACCCACATTCTCACAAGCCAATTTCTTGAAACAAAAAAAAAAAAAAAAAAAAAAGAGAGAGAGAGAGAAGAAAGAAAGAAAAGGGAGGTGGGGCATAGGCATGGTTAGCCCTACCAGGGAAGCAGCACAATGCAGGGGTTAAAAGTAAGGCTTCTAGAGACCGATGTTCTTGGTTTAAACGTCATTCCACTAGCAGAACTAACGAGGCCTGGAACACGGGTAAGTTCCTTAACTGCTCAAGTCTCAGTTCATTCATTTCCCAAACAGGGCTATTGACAGCGCCTGCTCCACGGGTTGCTTTGAAGATGTGAGGAGATAATGTATGTAAAACCCTTAGCGTGGTGCAGCGAACGTTGTAAGAACGCTGCTGTCATTAGTACTAAGGGCAGATTACCATACATGTTAAGATGTAAAAGGCAGCAAAAAGGCAAAAGAAAGGATTAAGGCAGCCTAAAGGATGAAGAAAAATTATTCGTTCCGTGCCAAGTCCTTTGGGAACAAGCAATTCATTAAGGCTGGAGGAAGGGAGGAGGCAGGGTTAGAAGATCTCAGGGAGAAAGGGGTTTTCAGTCTGGGAAGTGCGGATGGGATCAGAAGACCTGACGTAAGTGTGCGGGCAGGTTTTATCGTCATCATGGTCGCTAAGCCTGTAAAACGCCCCAGATTCACTGGGTCTTTTCTCATGTCCCATCTTCAATCATCCTCCCAACAATCCAACTTTCCCATTTTCCAGATGCGGATATTGAGGCTCGGGGAAGCTGAGCAGCAAACCTTGGGTCATAAGCGAGAGTCTGAGCCTGGACACACACCTGATCTATTATTGTTCCAAAGCCTCTTTTCCCTGCCCCAGGTATCCAGGGGAAAACTGTTAGGCTGGGGGTAGGGTGAGGAGGTGGTTGAGCACAAGCCTAGGGCAGCTCCACCTCCCTGTAAATATAGAGGGAAGTGGAAAGTGACCTTCCTTGTTCTCTCCCAAAAGAAAAGAATCAGAAGAAAATTGGGCCCGGGGTGGAAGGGGAGCCAGGCTTTCGGATCACCGTTTGGGAATCTATCAGCTGTTATGTGCCGAGCATCATGCAGGGCACCGTGCTTCCATGAGCACATCATCAGGGTGCACCCATTGACTTACACACACTCAACTTACATTTCCTGAGTGGCGGGCCACTCATTGAATTTGCATAGGGACTCTCTGAGGTAGGTGCAAATATGAAGCCCATTTTCATAGAGGTGCTTAGAAGAGGCCCAGACAGGGTAAGTGGGTCAGAATCCCACAGGTAGTAAGAGGAGGTACCTGGATTCCCAGGCGCCCTCTTGCCCACTACTGTGTCCTCCACACCATACGGCACCACCTGCACAAGCCTCAGGCTGTGCAGTGCTGGCTGTGGGTCCCCAGGAAAAAACAGACCAGGAGCAAAGGGAAAGCGGGGGCCAGTGTGGACGGGAGTCCTTAGGGCAAGCTTCCTAGAGGAGGTACACATGCAGGGCTTTGAAGGGTTAAAGATCTAGGAGGAAAATAGGAATTGGAGAAGGAAATGATTATCTGAAAGAGGAACTGGCAAAAGTAATATTCTGGGCGAAATGCTGTTCGGAGTGAATAGTGGGGAATGCATCATCTTTGGGGTAAAGCCTTCTCTGACCTTCCATCTCCCCATCCATAAAAGGGGAATAATGAAATTACCCACCTCATGGAAAGAGTGAGAATCAAATAAGATCTTGATTGTGACAATACCTTCTGTTTTGTTTGTTTTGAGAAAGGGTCTCACTTTGGCACCCAGGCTGGAGGGCAGTGGCAGAATAACAGCTCACTGCAGCCTTGATCTCCTGGGCTCATGTGATCCTCCTGCCTCAGCCTCCTGAGTAGCTGGTAAGCACACGCCACCATGCCCAGATAATTTTTTAAATTTTGTAGAGAGAGAGTCTCACTATGAGGCCCAGGCTGGTCTCAAACTCCTGCCCTCAAGCAATCCTCTCACGTCAGACTCCCAAAGTGCTGGGATTATAGGCCTGAGCCACCACACCCAGCTAAAATTGCATTCTGAATACTGCTGTATGATTATGACAAGCCATTTCAATTATAACATTATGCTGACAGACATGAAAGTTGTAGGGCACCATGGTGAAACAGTAAATAGAATGTCCAGAGTATAAGAAAGAAAAAGTAATGGAACCGAAGAAGGACCCACAGTCGAGAAGTAAGAGAAAGTCCCCACAGGCATGAGGAAAGGCTACTTTGCAAACGTAAGTTTGCCTGGGATCCTGGGGCCTCTTGGACAACAGCTGAGGACATCTTTCTCCAGGCTTCTTGAAACAATCTTAATGTCGGTGAAGCGAGTAGGTCTTTACGGGAATATGTCAGTCCCTTCTGCGTCAATTCTGAGCCACCTTCCCTCCTTTGAGCCTCGGTTTCCACATCTACAAAATGGGGAGAACTCCGCTGGTTTGCCGAGTTGCTGTGGGGGGTGAGCAGGGGGTGTGCAGTGTTTGAGTTGCACAGAGAACAGCTCAGTATGCTGGGAGTTTCCCAGGTCTCTGTCAATTCTGCTTCCAAAAGGTGAGAGGATGTTATCTGGACAAAACCCTGAAGAGCTGGGACTGGGCCCAATCCCATCTTTCTAAGGACAAGGTGCACAGGTGCTCTAGCGATGCTGACCTCTCTCCTTGCCCAATCTAGTTCAATCCAACCATCTTTCCCCTATCCGCTGGCTGGGTACCTGCCCCTAGGTGTCCCAGAGCCCCAGCAGGCTGTGGTGGGCTTCTGCTGCCACCTATAGGCCCCATGTGGCACTGCCTCCCCCGGTCCAGCATTGAGGCCGGCGTCCCCAGCCTTCACCTCCTCAGAGGGGATGATGGCATTGCATGTTTCCTCATCTGTCTGCCTGCCTGCTGGAGTGCCTTGAAGGCAGTGGTTATCTGATGTATCTATATCTGCACTATCCAGCACAATGCAAGCACAGAGTAGGTGTTCAACGCGTGAAGAATGAGCAAACTGCCTTGCAGTGATGAAGATCACAGAAAAAACAAGAACTTAGTTGGGGGTTATTTGATGCCAGCACAGGTGACTCAGGGAGGCTTGTAAATTTCCCTTCAGAGGCTTTGGGAGACAAAGTGATTCTGAATGCCCGGGGTAAGGCTGGGGCAGTTGTGCTAGAAGCCGGGGTGATTCCAGGACTCTGACATGTGGGAAAGTACAGGTCTCTCCCTTGGGCCAGGACCTCCCCATAAAACATGTCCGCAGACCAGGAAAGCCTGAAGAAGGGAGTCACAAGTGTGGCCTGGCTCAGTGCGGGGTGGAGACACTTCAATGAGGCTCTCATTTGGCAACCGCACATGGCTCTCACCAACTGCCTGGGTCCGAGTCCCTGGCCTAGCCCCTTCTTCCTCTCATCTCTTTTCTTTCTTGGGCCCGAGGCTTTCTTTGCCTATAAGGCCCACTCTTTCTCCATTGTCCTTTAAAACAATATTTAGGGAGTACAAGTGCAGTTTTATTACGTGGATATATTGTGTAGTTGCAAAGCCTGGGCTTTTAGCTTAGCTATCCCCTCAATAGATGGTGCACATTGTACTCACTGAGCAATTTCTCATCCCTCACCCACCTCCCACCCTTCCCAGTCTCCAGTACTGACTACTCCATACTCTACGTCCCTGTGTACAAATCAGTCAGCTCGTACTTACAGGTGAGAACACGTGGTATTTGACTTTCTGGTTCTGAGTTGTTTCACTAAAAATAATGGCTTCCAGTACCATCCATGTTGCTGCGAAAGACATTTCTTTTGTTTTTATAAAAGAAATACACACCCAATCATTCACTGATGGATACTTAGGCTGCTTCCATATCTTTGCTATTGTGAACAGTGCTGTGATTTTTTTATGTTCTCTACTGTCTTTGACTGAGGAGCTGAGAAGCATATGAACACCCTAGAAAATTCCCATTTTACAGCTGGAATACCTGAGATACCTACGGCAAGAAGGAGCTCAGAAACCAGAGGCAGGATCAGGTTTATAATCAGGCATCTAGGATCTGGGCCTTAAGCCCAAGAGTCACTGGTGGAAAGGGAGGGGAATTAAGACCTCAGGCAGGGGTTTCTGTGACTGGCTGAGCACACCTCGACCTCTTGCACACCAGTGGCTCCTTAAGGGTCTGGACGCCTTTCTGTTTCCTTTCCAATGTCTTTATTTTGCCTCCTTGGCTCACTGAAGCTCCCACTTTCTAGGAAGTCACAAAACAGGGCTAAGCCTCCACCCCAGTCCCTGCTGGAAAATGGAAACCCAGAGCGTCTATACGACCTGCCGAATCCCACCCTGAGAGCCAAGGGTGAAGCCGGGTGAAGCCAGGTGAGACCCCAAAGCCAAGGCTGCTGCAGTCCCTTGACCAGCCTCCTTCCTTTTACCCTGACAAACCCAGTCCTGTGGCAGGAGAGGCACTGGCGTCTGCTATGGTCCGAATGTTAGTGTCTCCCCAAATTCATGTGTTGGGACCTAATAAACTGTGATAGCATTAGCAAGTAGGGCCTTTGGGTGGTGGTTAGGGCATAGAGCCCCACCATCACAATGGGATTAGTTCCCTTGTAAAAGAGCTCAAGCAAACTCCCTGGCCTCTTCAGTCATGTGGGGACACAGCAGCAAGATGCCGTGTATGAAAATACAGCACCCTCACCAGACACTGAATCTACCAGCACTTGATCCTGGACTTCCCAGCCTTTAGGACTATAAGCAGTAAGTTTCCGTTGTTTATAAATTACCCAGTCCAGTGTATTTTGTTACAGCAGCCCAAACAGACTAAGACAGTACCCCATTCCAGACCTTCAAAGTCACCCTTGCCGTGGGTTCAGCCAACCTCTGGGTGCCCTCCACCCAGTGCACCCCTTACACTGCTTGTAGTGAGCCACAGGACCTTTGGTGCCTCTCCCTAAGTCTCCCGCCCTGCCACGGCTGGGCAGTCCTGCCTCACACCCAGCTAAATTCTTCCTGCTACCATTGCAACTGCCTCCTCTGCCTCTGCTCCTGTTGGCCCTGAGAGGAAAGAGAACGGTGTCTCCTGATTTCTAAATATGGTCGCCAAAGGAAAAACCATTCCAGGAGCCCCTGGTTCTATGCAGGAGGCTAAATCTCAGTCTTTCTGAGATTGAGACAGGACTGAATTTTCAAACCCACCCCAAGCAGGCTCCTCTATTCCCAACGTTAGTCAACAATCTCTTGAGTGCTTGCTCTGTGTCCAGAATCCTCTTCCCATTCTGGTGTTAGCAATTATTTTAAAATGTATCATTTGAGACAAAATTGTCAGAGATATAGTCATATAATAGGAGCTGAAAAGCACAGTCTTTGATCGGGGAAATAATCTGTCCTGGTGTCTGACCCCGGGACCAAGCTATCCTTATACCTAACCTAAGTCTGCAAACATACTGGCCAGACCCACACACAGCCTGCCTCAGAGCCCCACTGCCTGGGCCTCACTTGGATAGACCTGAGCCTGTGCCTCTCTGCCAGAGACTCAAAACCACCAGGACTCCTGGAGATCCACCAGCTACATGAAGAATGGGACAGAATTCCCGATCCGCTGCAGTTCAGGGGAAGGTCAAAAGCTTCCTGAGTCAGGACGTGGTGACTGTGAGTGGGGCCTCCTTAAGCCATCTGACCCCTGCTTGTCCTGTCCCAGGGCTCTCCTTCCCCTTCAGGGCTCCTGCCTGGGGAAGGTGCACTCTGGCCCACCCCAGAGCCTGTGATGGGGCAAACAAGAGCTCTTAGCTAAAAGCTGCGGGTTTGCCTCTCACTTGCATGTAGGGAAGTGACATGGAGACTGCCCCCTGTGAAGAGCAATAGCTCTTCTCACACAGAGATGGCCAACTTCATTCATTCATTCATTTCTTCATTAGTTTGTTTGTTCATTCATGGAGTCAACAAATATTGGGCGCTTATGTGCCAAACATTGTGCTAGGCTCTTGTGGGTACAGCAATGAATGCAGTGAACAAGATAGAGTTGCTACCCTCATAGAATTACTAACAAGGAAGACATGCACCATTACCATGTGATGAGCGTTACAGGCGTACTAGGGGCACAGGGATTAAAACCGTAGACGCTTTCCAGTTCTAGGCTGAGCTTGTGTGCTGGGTTGACTTGGGGCCACTGTTGTCTCTTGAGAAAGGTTGTGATCTGCTCCAAGCTGCTGGGTTTAGAAAGATAGAATCAGCTGGAGACAAAAGACTTAAGGCTAAGAAAGTGAAGCCAGCAGCAGAGAGGATAAAGATAGACAGGATCCGAGTCCAGACACTCTCAGAGGTAAAACAGAGACAGGTCTCTGGTGGGTGAGAGGAAGGGAGGCAGTGAGCAAAAGCCACCAGCCGGCAGCTCTGCAGTCAGGGATGGTCATGGGAAAAATGGTGTTAAAGGGGGGGGATGTGGGGCAAGGGCAGATGGCAAGCAGTTAGGAGACAGATATCCGTGTCGGGAAGTAGAGTCTGCAAACGTAAGTTGCCCTGAGAAACTCAACAGGAAAGGAAATGTGGTGGGTAGGAGGTTTGTGGGGAGATCCAGACAGAGAGAAGCAGGGTAAGGGAAGGTGAGTGTTTTTAAATGCTAGGAGATGCCTGAGTATGCTTATAGGTGGGGGAAGAAGGCAGCAGAGAAAGGAAGACTGCACATAAGGAAAAAAAGAGGAGATAAGAGGGGCCTGCAGGCTCTGAGAGGGCTGCAGAGGCAACAAGCAGAAGGCAGGCTGGCTTCCCTGAGGAGGGGGCTTCCCTCTTCATCCCAGGGAGAAGGAAGGAACTTGAGATGCTGAGGTATCCAGAGGGAACGGGAGAAACTTGTGCTAACGTGCACATATGTACCGAATTTGCACAGTTGTAACTAAACTGGCACAAAGTAACATGGGTCGCCTACACACACATGCACACGCGTACCTGTATGCACGCCTTCTATCAGGAATGCTGGGAAATCACATCACACACACATGCACACGCGTACTGTATGCACGCCTTCTGTCACGAATGCTGGGAAATCACATCACACACACATGCACACGTGTACATGTATGCACGCCTTCTATCACGAATGCTGGGAAATCACATCACACACACATGCACACGCGTACCTGTATGCACGCCTTCTATCACGAATGCTGGGAAATCACATCACACACACATGCACATGCGTACTGTATGCACGCCTTCTATCACGAATGCTGGGAAATCACATCACACACACATGCACACACGTACATGTATGCATGCCTTCTATCACGAATGCTGGGAAATCACATCACACACACATGCACACGCGTACTGTATGCACGCCTTCTATCACGAATGCTGGGAAATCACATCACACACACATGCACACGCGTACATGTATGCACACCTTCTATCAGGAATGCTGGGAAATCACATCACACACACATGCACACGTGTACATGTATGCACGCCTTCTATCACGAATGCTGGGAAATCACATCACACACACATGCACACGCGTACATGTATGCACGCCTTCTATCAGGAATGCTGGGAAATCACATCACACACACATGCACACGCGTACCTGTATGCACGCCTTCTATCACGAATGCTGGGAAATCACATCACACACACATGCACACCCTGGAAACCAGGCCTGGGGCAGCCCGTGGGCTGTGGGAGGCCACTTGCAGTGTGGAGGGGAGCAAAGCCGGGGGAATCAGTTTCAGACCCAGCACCAGAAGCCCTGGCTCCAGGCTTTCACTTGTCCTCTCACAGCCCAGCTGACTTCAGTGAAATGACTTCATTTCTGGTGATTCTGTTGCCTGAAGGGTGAATGAGGGTGAATCATACCCACTTTGCCAAAAACAGGGCTGGTGAGGCTCACCTGAAAGGAAAGCTTCCTTCCTGTGTCTCTTCCTCTGCAGAAAGTCCAGGCAAGGAGATGAGTACCCATGAGGCCCTAGACACTCCAGTTCTCCCTGACCACCTGACACACAGCACTCACCCAAAACCTGTTGCAGTAGGTCCAGGCTCTGCTGATGCCAAAGTCTCTTCCTCCTGCCCTCTTCATGCCCCACCCACTCCACACCCAAAAGCCTTCCCAGAGTCCCCTTCCCCAACCCAGCACCTACTCAACCAGCAGCAACCCAAACCCAAGTGAGAGTGGGGCCAGTTTGTGCCTTGTTTGCATTCCATTGCTGTCCTTGTTTCTCTTCTGTGACCTCTCTGGGGATGCTTTGTTGGGTACAGCTAGGCTATCCTGGAGAAATCTCTAGTCGGCCTTGGAAAAGGCAAAGAAAGACGGAGCACGTGCTACTGGCAGCTTCTGAGCCTTCCCACCTGTCTCTCCCTCCTCCAACCTCAGAGCCCTCTGCCCTGCCCTGAACCTTTGCCTACGTTCCCTGGTTGTTTGGGTCACTGGGTCTCTGAGGCCACAGGTCTCCAAGAGTTTCTGATCTTTCCTTTAGAAATTTCTACTTGCCGGGGGAGAGACTGAGCTGGGAGGCAGTAACTCTCAGTATTACCAAAGGAATGTCCACTACCTGAGCATCAGCAGGACCGGATCCTGGTAGCCCACAGAGAGGGGCAAGGAATGCTCAGCTCTCCCCACACTCCAAAATGCTGCTGTCACTGGGGTTGGGGTGGAGTCACCATCCTGCCACTTCTCAAGGCACAGCCAATGTTTGCTCTCTGCCTGTTTCGTCCAGGGATGGGGAACATGGCGATATGAGGGGGCAGGGGACTAACGAGAGGCAGGAAGTGTCACCAAGCCACGTGGTGAGGGTGGGGGATGGCACTGTTTCTCCTCCTTACTCCTCTGCCAGTGCATCCATGCCAGCCACCAGTATGGCCTCCAACCACTCAAACACTCAGAAAAAGCTCGCAGCCCGGCTGAGCCCCATTGGCTTCTGTCAGCCTGTCTGCCTGTGCCCTTGCCCAGGGAGTCTGGTGGGGCCTTTCTCCTTGCTCCGTGAGGAGGGCTCTTGAGCAGTGGTGGGAATGGCTTGTCTTGAATCTTAGGTCCTTCCAGCACCACGAGGCTGCTCATGGAGAACCTGGGTATCAAGGAGCTTAGCACAGATGAGGTAAGATACCCACGTCGAAGCTGAGGCATGGTGCTCAGGCTAGCAGGGAGCCACCTGGTCCAGGCCACAGAATCACCTTACACAGCGTCAGGTCCCAAATGGGACCACTTCAGGTTCTTGCCTCCTCATTTCTCACGCACTGTTCACATGTGTGGCTTGGTCCCCAAGGGAGGTAGATCACCATGCCCAGCCCTCTCCATGGAGGGGCCAGGCCTCAAGCTCAGGCTCTGTGTCTGCCCAGAGGGCCTGCAGGCTCAAATGGGCTCCCTTGCCCACCTTCCCCAGTGTGTCATGGGCTGGAAGCAGATGCTCACACTGCACAACGTCTCCTTCCACCTCGAAGGCAAAGACTGCACCCTCACCAGTGCAGATGATACAACAGGCAAGGCTCAAGTCTGCAGCAGGGAGGAAGGCTGGCAGGGCCCCGAGATGATGTGACGGAGGCCCAGTGTAGACGGAGGGATCCACAAGAGGAAGACGGATGCCGCTGAAGACGGCTGCTGGGGTCAGGCAAGGCGAAGGGGAGTGTGTGTGCTGGGCAGTAGGCAAAGCCTCCTGCTTCCTGCCAGGACCTACAGTGATGACAACCTGTGTATACTGGCCCTCTACAACCTGCATGTGCCGCAGCCCACTGGAGCTCTCTAGGTCCTGAGTGCCACTTTGTCCACAAGTTCTGCATGGAGCTTGAACAGTGCACAATTGCCTTGGCTTTGCCTTGGCCTGCTGAGGCCCTTCGCCGGGCAGGCCCTGCCCTCAGTCCTAGCCAGTAGCTGAGGAGCACTCTCTCTCTGTCTCTCTTGGAGATCCCTTTGCCTAGGCTTATGACCTCACAGGGATACAATGGGCACAGAACTCCCCTGGACATTTGTCTGGTCCCCAGCACCAGCTTTCCTCCACATTGAGGACAAAGAATAAAGATGTTACATCCTGGGTTCAGTAGAGTTTGAAACAAAGAAAGGGGCAGACACGTGCCTGTAGGATATGGACTGACAAACTCTCCACACTGACCCATGTGTACTGGTTTTTGTGCATGGGGATGATACCATCCGTCCGCTCTCTGCAGGGCTCAGGTGGAGTTGTCCACACAGCTTCAGGTGGGAAATCTTCAGAGAGCCAGCCCCATCCCCCTCCAGCCCCCTGATCACCAAGGCTAGTGCTGTGGGCCAGAGAGATAAGCCCAGCTCAGGGAAGTTAGCTCCACGTGCAGGCTCAGAGCTGCTGAGCTAGCCAACCCTGTCCCATGCAAAACTCCCTTCAGCCCTGTGTCTTATCCACTGCAGGTTCCCCTGCCCCACATAGCCATTTTCACAGGCAGATCAAGGCACCATCACCAAAAAATGTAAAACACCAGACATCCAACAACACTCCCACTTTTCACATAGGAACAAAGTCCAGAGACTGGATGGCATTTGCCCAAGATCACTTGGTGAACAATCAAGACTAGAACCCAGCCTGACTGAATCCGCTGCACAGAGCTCAGCACATGCAGCTTCAGGCTGCGTCCATGAGTGCACCGACATGCCCACTCTACCGTCCTCTGACAGAGCCTCTTGCCCCGCTCTGACCCCGGGCTGTCTGCAGGGGGATGTAGCATGGGGAATGAGAGGACAGCATCCACCCAAAGCCACTGAAACTGTCCTTCAAGGGAGCTGTTCACCATTTGTTTGACTAGAAAGGATAAGACACTGAACTGGGTTGAACCAGACCAGTCACAACTCATATTGCATGCAATTGTGATAGAACACCCTTGAATAAAGCATGTCTCAGCATTTTTAACAAGTGTCACAAATGTTTCTTTAATACCTATCCCCATCTGCACAGTCCAATATGGTAGCCACTAGCCACATGTGACTATTCACATTATATTTAAATTAATTAAATTTAAATAAAATGTCTCACAAGTCATATCCCAAGTGCTCAGTGGTCACAAATGGCTGGTGGCCACCGTGTTGGAGTGAAGATACAAAGCATCATCACAGAAGTTCCGCTGGACAGAGCGTTGTTCTGTTGGACAGAAATAACAAGAGGACTCTTCAGATTGAGATGTTCCCAAATACACCAAAGGGACAACTTGGGGTAATAGAAAAGGGCCCCTTCTGAAGGTACATTTTTGGTTAGGGCAGTGATAGATCTGACCTCTTTTTTTCTTTCCTTTTCTTTTTTTTTTTTTAGAGATGGGGTTTCACCATCTTGGCCAGGTTGGTCTTGAACTCCTGACCACAGGTGATCCACCCACCTCAGCCTCCCAAGTGCTGGGATTACAGGCATGAGCCACTGTGCCCAGCCAAGATCTGGCCTCTTAACAAAGCTCCCCTCTAAAGAGATGGTGACCAATGAGGTCCTTGAGGTAGACAAAAGAGTGAAAAACTGAGGCTGGCTATGGCAAAGAGGGCTGACAGCCACAGAGTGCTCCACAGGAGGTGACAGAGTAATCAGAGAGTCCAGTTAGCAGAGGACATACCCCTAAGCTGGCCTAGCCTCTCTTCATGTCTCCTTCTCCCCACAGAAACTCTTCCCCAGACACCTATTCCCTTGACCTCTAACATGTATGTGTGCATGGGCACACACACACACACATCCCACCACCACCACCACCATCACCATCATCACCATCACCACCACCACCACCCCCATCACCACCACCATCACCGCCATTACCATCACCATCACCACCATCACCACCATCACCACCGCCATCACCACCATCACCACCACCATCACCACCATCACCATCATCACCACCATCACCATCACCACCCCCATCACCACCACCATCACCGCCATTACCATCACCATCACCACCATCACCACCGCCATCACCACCATCACCACCACCACCACCACCATCACCATCATCACCACCATCACCATCACCACCCCCATCACCACCACCGTCACTGCCATTACCATCACCACCACCACCACCACCCCCATCACCATCACCATCACCATCATCACCACCATCACCATCATCACCACCATCACCATCACCACCCCCATCACCACCACCATCACCACCATTACCATCCCCATCACCACCATCACCACCATCACCACCGCCATC